CCCCGAGCTCCCCCTGCATCCCATGAGCTCCCCCTGCATCCCCCGAGCTCCCCCTGTACCCCCCGAGCTCCCCCTGTATCCCCTGAGCTCCCCCTGCATCCCCTGAGCTCCCCCTGCATCTCCTGAGCTCCCCCTGCATCTCCTGAGCTCCCCCTGCATCCCCTGAGCTCCTCCTGCATCCAATCCCCCAGTGTCCCCCAAGCCCCCGACCTCCCTGAGCATCTCATGTCCCCCACATCCCCCGTGCCCTCCTGGCCCCTGAAGTCCCCCGTACCCCTTTACCCCCCCCCCCCCGGTATCCCCCCGTTGCCGGTGCCCGCACCAAGCGCTGCCGCGGGTCGCGGGCGCGGCTGGCGCGGTCCAGGAGCGCGCTGTACTCGAGCTCCTCGCACAGGCGCTGGAGCGTGTTGAGGGGCTCGTTGAGCTGCACGGGCAGGGCCACCCGGGACAGGTCCTTGCCCACGCTGCTCCGCAGCAGCCCCCACAGGCTCACGTCCCCCGACGGGGCGGGCGGCGCGGGCAGGCGGCTCCTCCGCTGCGGGTCCGGACCCGGCAGCTCCACCGGCGGCGGCGGCGGCTCCGTGGGCATCCCCGGGCCCTCCGCGCCTGCGGGACCGGGCGCTGTGGGATGGAGCCAAACCCCCCCCTCCAGGTCCCCTTCTCATCGGTGTCCCCATCCCGGTACCTGTTGGGGGCTCGGCCGCGTCCTCGCAGGCGCTGGTGGTGGCCTCGCTGATGCAGGATTCATCGTCCGAGGGCTGAGGACACGCAGGGACCGCCGGCGGCTTGGAGGGGATGGGGCCGGGGTCTGGGGATTACCCCATAGGAGGGGTTGGACCCTCCCCCGAGAGGATGGGATGGGACCCGGGTGCCTGGGATGGGCAGGATGGGGAAGGGGGAGTACCGGTGGTGCAGGAGTGGGGCTGGGGGGTGTTAAGAGGCTGCGGGGTCCCTGAGAGCCTAAAGGGATTGCGCTAAAGGGGGGGGATATGGAACACGGGAGCTGGGGGGCACATGGGGAATGGGGAGGGCAGCTAACGGGGAGGGGACAGGGAGAGAGAAGGAAGAGATGAACCCACAGAAGCAGCACCCACAGATGAACCCATAGAACCCAACTGAAGCCCCTTCCCCACCTCGTTCTCAGAGGAGCTGGCGGAGAGGAAAACCTCGCAGGCATCAAAGAACTCAGTGTGGGAATCGGCCAGAGACACGATGCTGCGGTTGGAGAGCTGCTGCTCCCGGCCCTTGGCTGGCAGTGGGTCCGGCTGAGGGGACAGCCACCACCTCAGCACCCCCCGGACCCCCAACCCCGACCCCCCAACCCCATCCTGGCCCCCCCCAAACCTCATCGGGGTGCAACGATGCGAAGGAGTCCATGGTGGTGTCAGAGGAGACGGAGAGGGAGTGGAAGCGGCGCAGGGCAGCCTGGAGAGGTGATGGGGGGGATGCTGAGCCAAACCAACCCCTATATGTGTCCCCTCCAACCAGTGTGGGGGTGACGGCAAGGGGGGATCACCCCCAACGGTGTGATCCTGAGACCCTGCCAACTCACTGCACCCAACAGCACCAGTCCCATTGTACTGGGGCAGGGGGGGGGGGGGCACATCTAAAACTCCCACCCGGCCCCTGCAATCCTCACCCCGGCGTTGCCGGCGCTGCTGGGGCGCGGTGCTGAGCGCCGCCGGTCCAGTGCCCGCTGCAGCTCCTCCAGACGCGTCCTCTCCATCATCAGCGCCGTCACCACGCTGCTGAGCGAGCCGTGCACTGCCGGGCACAGGGGCTGCATCACTGCACCCAATGGCACCCACCTCAGCACCCTCCCCAGCACCACCTTCCCCACCTTTCTGTGCCAGCACCCAGAAGCTCCTCTGGAGCTGCGTGTACTCCGGGGGGAGGCTGAAGGGAAGCTGGCTCTGGGATGGCTCCAGGTAGCGTGAGAGGTTGGGGACGGAGCCGTGCAGGCGGCCCACCTTGGTTTGGGGGGGATGGACACGGGGGTCAGTGATGCCCTAGGGGGGGGCTGCATCCCCGCAGCAGTGGGTCAGAGATGGGGGGGATGCTCAGCAGGATGCTCGCCCGCTCACCCTGCCGATGGTGTCGTCTTTGGCAAAGCTCTGGGTGCACCAGATCCTGGTGCTCCTCCTGCCTTTCTTCGGCCTCTCCGTGGCGGCTGAAGGCTGGGAGGAAGAGGAAGGGGCTGGAGATGGGCCCTTGCCATGAAAGGCGATGCTCAGCATCATGGCCACGTCCCACTCACCTGGGTGCCGGAGATGAGGGGTGCCGAGGGGATGCGGTGCAGGGCCTCCAGGCTCTGCAGCATTCCCGTCAGCTCCTGCAGCTTTGCCTGGCATTCCACCAGCTCTGCAATGGGTGCAGAGCGAGCCCCATCAGGGAGAGGGAACGGGGCATCACCCCCTGCCCCACACATCCCCTCCTGCCCCACTGACCGGCCGAGCAGCGCTCCAGCCCCTCGCTGTCCTTCAGCCAAGCGTTCACCTTGTCCCGGGAGCTGGCCAGGGTGGAGAGGGCAGGAGCACTGCCCGAGGGCAGGATCCGCGTCCACTGGCCCTGGAGGCACATCCAGGGCTGCCATCAGGAGCCCCACATCCGGACCCTGCCCCACATCGTGCCCCCGAGGTGACACCCACCTGCGTGTTGGGCCCTGTGGGACCCCCACTCTCGCCCTGGTGATGGGAGCAGAGGCTGCTCACCCAGCTGGAGAAGAGCTCTGGGGACTTGATCTGTGGGACAGGGGTAAGTTGATGGGGACACACACACACACACACACACAGAACCCAATGCCCCCCCCAGCCCCATTGCAGCCCCACAGCACCTTGAGGTGGTAGATGTTCTCCTCCGTGTCCAGGTCAACGCGCTGTGCCTTCTTGTTGACGGACATCACGGACAGACGGACATCGATGGCACCGTGCAGTTTGCCCTTGAGGACCTGGGGGAGACCAGGGATGCCTGTTAGGGGGAAGACCCCCACTTCCTCATGGGGTCTGTGGGGTGCAGCCTGTCCCCGTACTCACATCCTGGCGCGTGGTGGCATATTTCAGGATGCTGTTTTCCAGCACAAAGTACCTCTGGGGACAGAGAGGCGCAGTTGTTGCAAGGGGGGAAGCAGGGACTGACCCCTGCAGGCACTTATCCAGGGGTTCACATCTCCCCATAGCTGGGCACAGCACCCAGCAGCACTCAGATGCACTCTGCCCATCACCTTGTGCCAGCCCTTCAGGGGCCATTTCCTCTTCTTGAGCAGGTAACCCTCATGCCGCTGCGGCTCCGTGCCCGGGCTGCCCCGCACACGAGGCTCCTCCAGCACCTCCCAGCTCTCAGAGCCCTGTGGGAATGAATGGGGGTCAGTGTGGGGCTCCCTTAGCTGATGGGGAGCTCCCAGCCTTGTCGCTAAGCACTTGGTACCCCCTGTGGATGGGGTATCTCTGTGTAACACCCTTCCTTTAGTGGGGTGCATCCCAGTGAGCCCCCAACCTGCTGAACGCTGCTCTGCTTGGAAGACACGGTGCTGTTGGAGCGTGACAGGGCCTTCCTCGGTGAGGACGCATCCTTCTCGTGGCTGCCCATTGTGGGGAGCAGATGGGGATGCAGGGACCGGGTCGAGGCCCTGCTTTGGTCTGTGCTGCGGCTCTGAGCTCGGCTGTTACAGCAGTGGGAGCCGCTGCGAGGAGAGGACCCCACGTCAGGAGCCCACCCTGCCCCATCCCCTCATGGCAGTGAGGGATAGGGGGGGATGCTCTGCCCACCCCCATAAGTGGGTGCCTCACATTGCACCGGGCACCCAGGACCTTCTGCGTGAGACGGAGCCTTGGACCTACCCAGCCTTATCTCACCTGCAGCACCCAGCCCTCGCCTGCTGGGTCCAGAGTCCGCTCCTGCTCCATCACCCCATAGACCCGGTGCCACGGGGCAGCCCCACAGCCGGGACCCGGGGTACAGAGCCCTGGACCAGCCCCGCTCCATCCCGAGTCAGGATACACCCCCCCCCCCCTTTCCCATAGGATGCTTCCCTTTGACCTTCTCAATTACAGCAGGGGGAAACTGAGGCACGGGCCCCCCCTTTCCCCGTGCTTGACCCGGGGATGGCAGCGAAGCCCCGGTACCGCCCGCACCGCCTCGGTGCCCGGTGGGGAAGAGGCCGGGGGGTCCCCACTGCAGCGCGGCCCCCCCTGCCCTGCGCAGCTTGGCAGCGACCGGACCCCCCCCTCGGGGGGCAGAACTGCCCCCCCCCCGGCAATGGGGGGGTCTCCAGTGAAGCCTCCGCCTGCTCCGAGCAGGACGCGACCCCGGTAACGCAGCGGAAAGCCCGGCCCGGTGCTCCCCCCCCCCGCCCATCCCCGTGTCCTCCCGCCTGCCCCTCGCCGGTGGCACCGGGCGGCAGGGTCCGGGTCCTGCTGCTGGAGCTCCCCCCCCCCCCCAACGGTGCTCACCCGGGCGGCCGGGACCGATCGCATCCTGCCCGGCGGCTGCAGGAACCGGAACACGGAAGGAGGCGGAGGCGCTTGGGCCGGAGCCGCTCGGCTCTGCCCCCTGCTCCGTGGAGGACCGGAGCCCGCAGCGCGCCCGGACCCCCCCCACTAACCCCGCACCGAGCCGGATCCACCCCCGGCCCGAGCACCGGCAGAGCCCGACCCCGCTCCGGGAGCCCCTTACCCCTTCCCATACAGGAGGTGAATCTTGTCCAGGCTGCCCCCCCCCGCTCTGCTTATGGGGGTCAGGGGTACCCCCAGAACAGTGACCACGCTATGGGGGTCCCAGCTTCCCCATTCCCCCCGGGATTTCCCTCATCACCAGCACACAGAGCCCTGGAGGAGCACACAGCCCTCCCCACCCCATGGCATCAAGGGGCTGGGACCCCCCCCCCACCTGCCCCCCCAAATCCAAGACGAAGCCTCTGGCATCACCACCACTTGCTTTAATGGGCACGGCAGGATGTTACAACACGCTCCTCCTCGCTGTCCCCATTCGGGGGGACGGGGGGGGCTGGAGCACCCCAAATCCTCCCCATCACATGCAGCTTCCACTGGGTGATCCCAGCACCCCTCTGCCTGCAGCACCCAAAACCCAGCGGGGCTGTTCCCCACAGCCATGGGTGCAGGGAGCGAAGGGAAGAGCTCCAGGGTGGTGCTGCCAGACCCTCACTCCCGCCACTGGCTTCCCACCCGGTGCCAAACCTTCACCCCTCGGCCCCCCCAAAGTGAAGGAGCCGAACACACAGAGCAGGGCCGGGTCCCAGCATCAATGAGCCCCTGCAGGCTCTGGGCTGGGCTGGGCCGGGGTCCCCCCCTCAGCCTCCTGCAGCTGGCGGATGTGCTGGTCCAGCAGAGCAGTGAGGTGTGCGGAGCTGCGCTGGAGCAGGGAGGATGTCTGGGAGGGCAGGAGGGACAGGGCACCCACTGCCTGCCCCTGGGCAACCTCCAGAGAGGGCAGCTTGGCAAAGTTCTCCACTCCCTGCCTGCTCAGGATGGTGTCGTCGATGCAGGCGCCTGGAAGAGAGGAGCAGAGCTGAAGAGAGGACATGGAAGGGCTCCATCATCCACAGAGGAAACACTTGCTCCTGCAGGCAGCGCTTCCACCATCCATCCCCTTGTTTTAATGGACATGGATGCAGCTTCCCACTGGAGCCAGGGCACGGGGAACGCTCTCACCCAGGAGGTTGATCTGTGGCACCCCCTTCAGCACCCGCAGCATCTCCTTGGCCTTTGCCTCCCGGCTCACCAGCAGGACGTTGCGGGCCACGAAGAGAGGGAGGAGGTTCCTATACTTGGACTGGGACAGCACGGGCCTGACGATCTGGGGGAGAGAGCTCTCAGCCCAGCACAGAGCCTGCTTCCCACCCTTGAGGAAGGCTCCGGCGCCTTCCCCTTGCTGCCACCCCGGGACCAGCACCGGCAGCTCTGCCCCTACCTCGTTCAGGAAGAACTTGACCTCGATGTTGTGCTTGCGGAGGTAGTGCTTCAGCAGCAGCATGTCCTCCCCGGGCATGGCGTTGTACTGGCACACGGCGATCATCCGGTTCTCCCGGAACGCCTCCTCCACCTGCCGCCGCAGCAGCCGCACGTAACCGTCGTCCTGACGGGATCACAGCAGCCATAGGACACAGGGAAAGGGCCGCACCGGGACCCTCTACCAGCACTCGGTTATCTCCTCCTGAACACCCTCAATGGGATGAAACGGGGCAGCAACACCCCACAGAGGTCACCCTGAAAGCCATCACAATCCTTACCTCCTCCACCACTTCGGCTTCCTTCTTTGGGGGCAGACAGCGCGGCGGCACGGCCGGCCGGGGGGCCACGTATTCGGTCACGGCCATCAACTTCTGGCGCTGGAAGTGCATGGCCTTCCAATGGCGGGTGACTGCCTTGGAGGCGCGGCGGACGAGCTGCAGGGCGGGCAGCCAGCCTGCGGGCAGGGGCACGGGTAAGGACGGGAACGGGTGAGCACGGAGCGGGCCGCAGCACCGGGGGACCGGCCCTCACCCCGCCGCCATGGCGCCCCAGCGCCGCCGCCGCTCAGCGCCGCCATCTTCGCGCAAGGCCTTGTGGGCCGGCGGCTGCGCACAGAGCCCCGCCCCTCCCGCCCGTCTCCTAGCAACGGGCACGCTGCGGCCTGCACCGCCCCGGGACCCGCTCGGCCCCGTTCACCCCGAGCCCAGCCCCATGGTGCCCGCAGCCCCGCGGGTCTCCTTGCCCGGCCTGGGGGTCCCAGCGCTGCCCCTGCGCAGCCCCAGAGCCCGAGGGTTTCTGCCCCCCATTGCTCCAGCGCCAGGACCCTCACAGCCGGCGGCGGCCCCACAGCGCAGCCACCCGAGGGCCCAGCGCAGGGACGAGGACACCGGCGCCATGGCTGGGCAAGGGGAGACTCGGCTGCGGGGGGAGCGGAAGCCCCCAGGAGTGACCCTCACCGACAGCCTCATCAGCACCAGGATGGTGGAGCCCCCCCATGCCGAGAGCCGGTGAGGGTCCATAGAGCACCCCTGCACCCCAAGCCAGAAGGGGGGGTTCTCTGTGCCCCAGGGACACCCCGAGCACCCCCTCTCTTCCAGGCCCCCCTGCACCATCCGCTTGGACCGGGAGAACATCAGCGCCATCGGGAGGCTGCGGAGCCTGCAGGACATCCACAGCCTCTACCTGCAGTGGGTACGGGGCAGGTAACACAGCTCAGTCAAGGGCTGAGCCAGTTGGAGCTTTAGGGTCATAGAATCATAGAATGGTTTGGGTTGGAAAGGACCTTAAGATCATCCAGTTCCAACCCGCCTGCCATGGGCAGGGACACCTTGCTCTAAACCATGGCACCCAAGGCCTCGTCCAACCTGGCCTTGAACACTGCCAGGGATGGAGCATTCACAACCTCCCTGGGCAACCCATTCCAGTGCCTCAACACCCTTACAGGAAAGAATTCCCTCCTTAGATCCAATCTAAACTTCCCCTGTTTCAGTTTTAACCTGTTACCCCTTGTTCTATCACTACAGTCCCTAATGAAGAGTCCCTCCCCAGCATCCCTATAGGCCCCCTTCAGATACTGGAAGCTGCTCTGAGGTCTCCACGCAGCTTCTCTTCTCCAGCCCCAATGTTCTCAGCCTGGCTCCATACAGGAGCTGCTCCAGCCCCTGAGCATCCTCATGGCCTCCTCTGGACTTGTTCCAACAGCTCCATGTCCTTTTGATGCTGAGGACACCAGAACTGCACACAGTGCTCCAAGCGAGGTCTCACGAGAGCAGAGTAAAGGGGCAGGATCACCTCCTGAGCTCTGCAGCCACAGCCCCACAACCCTCTCCATAAAGCTCCTGTGTTGCCCCAGCGAGGTCGGAGCTCCCAAAGTCTTGTTTTTTAATGCAGTTTCTTTCTTTTCTCTCCCCCCCCAGAACCAAATTGAGAAGATCGAGAACCTGAGCAGCTTCCCCAGCCTGCGGTATGGCCACCCCAAGGACACGGCTTTCCATGGGCAGAGGAGAGCAGGGATCCCTCCTTCCCTTGGCAGAGCTGAGGGGGGCTTGGCTGCATCCCCTGACCCCGGGGGCTGTGGGGTGTCCCCCCACCTCACACCGCTGCCCTCCCCTGCCCCACAGGTTCCTGTCCCTCGCTGGAAACCGCATCTGCAAAGTGGAGAACCTGCAGCCCCTGCAGCACCTGCACGGCCTGGACCTGGCCCACAACCTCATCCGGACACTGGACCCAGGTGGGAGGCAGGAATGGGTCTGGGTATAGCCTCAGAGGGGCCTTGGTACCCGGGAACATCAGCAGGGCCTGGTCCGGGCTCTGCCCTCAGGTCCCAGTCCGTGGCTGCTGGGTCTGGAGTGGGTGAAGAGCTGTGGGAGATGGAGGGGTTGGTGGATGGGGGGGGTCTCAGCTTCCATCTCAGCCCCTTTCTGCCTTCCCTTGGACCTCTGCAGCTGAGCTGCCCCGCAGCCTCCGTCTGCTCGACCTAACAGGAAACGAATGCACCCACCAGCAGGGATACAGGTGGGTGAGGGGAGGCTGCAGCCAGCCCCCCCCACCATGGGAGACCCTCAGTGGGGTACTGTCCCCCCCACCACCCCAGTATCACCTACAGCCTTTTATTTGCTCTTCCTTTGCTGCTTGCAGGGAGCTGGTGGTGGGTGCTCTGCCCCACCTCCTGCAGCTGGATGCTCAGCCCATCCATGGTGGTGTGGATGAGCAGGAGGAGGAAGGAGGCTCCTGCAGCAGTGAGGATGAAGATGATGAGTTGCTCTCTGCGCCAAGCAGCCCTTTCACTGCAGGCAAAGGTGCTTGGGTTGAAGCAGGGCACGTTGCATGCTTGGGGGTTAAGCAGGCCCCAGGGGTCACAGGAGTGGCAGGGAGCTCCATCAGATCTCCCCCCTCCATTCCACCTGAAAGGAGGATGGAGTGAGGTGGCGTTGATCTCTTCTCCCAGGCAATAGGACAAGCTGCACCAGGGCAGGTTTAGATGGAGCTGAGGAACAATTGGTTCCCCAGAGGGTGCTCTGGTATTGGAACAGGCTGCCCAGGGCAGGGCTGCAGTCACCATCCCTGCAAGTGTTCACACAGCGTGGAGACGAGGCCTCAGTGCCATGGGTTAGGGGTGGCCTTGGCAGTGATGGGGAACGGTTGGCCTGGATGAGCTTAAAGGGTTTTTCCAGCCTGGTTGATTCCATGATTCCATGATCCCTGGCAGATTTCTTTGTGGATCTGCACCAGGAGCTGGCCAGGCGCTCTGAGAGGAGGAGGAGGGAGGCCCTGGAGGAGCATCAGACCCGTCTGCAGGAGCTGGAGGAGCTGCGGGAGCGCCGGGATCTGCTGCTGCTGCCCACGCTGCTGAACCCACCCAGCATCATGGCCCCGGCCCCCCGGCAGCATCAGCCCCATCCCCAGTTGAAGCAGGGGACACCACTGCCGCCCCAGCGAGCTCCCAGCAGGAGCCAGCCCCAGAACAAGGCTCTGGAGGAGGACATTTGTGCCAAGGGAGCAAGAAACAAAGAGTTGCCCCCAATACCCCTCAGTAGCATAGCGCTGTGCAGTTGGGATTAAAGCTTCTTTATTCCTACACTGACCCCCTGTCTGCCACGGAGCATCCAGCCCTGCAGCCTGACAGTGGGAAAGACACATGGGGCCACAGGCAGGACCCCATATCCCACTCCACATCCCTCTCCTTCCCCATGCAGCTGCATTTCAGGCCACAGCTCCTCAGCAAGCTGGAGGCTTGGGCTGGAGACACTGGTTGGGATGAAGTGAGGAGCTGGGAATGTTTTCTCATCCCCCCTATATAGGAGCAGGGTTTAGGTGTAAAACTTCATCTCTGCCTCCACGCAGTCGAAGAAGAGGTCGGTCAGCTCCTCGGGGCAGGGGGCCACTGTCCCCTCCAGCAGTGCATTCATCCCCTCCAGGCCCTGCTTCTCCAGGTCCCGCAGTGTCTGCAGGAGCTTCTGGCCTCGTTCCTGGTGGCATCAGGAAGGGAGAGGAGCTGAGACTGGGCACCCTCGATGAGTTCCACTGCCTCCCACATCAATGGGGCAGCACAAGGGTCCTGGGGCAGCAGCGCCTGGGGAAGGGTCTGTGGTACCTGGTCGCTCTCCATCATCTCCAGCGCTGCCTGATGCCGCCGGTAGAGCTCGTGCCGCCGATCCACCGTGCTCTGGAACCGTGGGATCCGCTTGGCAGGGTCATCCCGGAAGGTGGGAGATGTCACCTGTGGCACGGGCTTGAGCCCGGCCACGAAGACAAAGGGCTTGAAGACAGACCTGATGGAGAGGAGCACCCATGGGACCGGGCAGGAGGAGGGCAGGCACTGCTCCCCGGGGATGCTCCACCTGGGACTCAGCCTCATCCCTGTCACCCCAACGTGGGGCGGTCCCCTCCATGTCCTCACCTGGAGGGGTCAGGGGTGGCTGTGAAGAAGTGGACGCAGGGCAGAGCAGGGTCCCGGGGCAGCACGGACACCATGCTGCCCGCCGTGCGGAACCCCTCCGTGTCCACACAGATCCCACTGCCCTTGTCCCGCAGGATGGCCATGAACGTCTCTGCTGTGATGCGACCTGGTGGGTAAGGCAGAGCCACGTCACCACTGGCACCTGAGCTATGCTTACAGCAACCATGGATGAGCCATAGGGGGGGTTCCTGTCCCTTGTCCCCACCTGCGTGCTGCTGCAGCAGCTCCCTGCCAGCGCTGTAGCGGGCTTTCGCAGCCTCCATGCGAGGGGGCTGCTGCGCCAGGGAGAAGACCTGCGCGAAGCTGAACTCTCCATCCCCGCTCCACCAGCCCTGGCTGCGCGCTCGCTGCCGCAGCCCCGGGTGCTCGGCCGTGATCTCCGTCCCGATGCTGAGCTGGTTCGAGATGTTCCGGCTGCCCTCTGCCAAGGCCGGGCTGTGGGAATCAGGCTGAGGGACACACACAGAGGGCTCCCCGTCCTCCCAGTACCACCAGCACCCGCTCACCTCGGATCTGCTGGGCTGCCCAGTACCGCCCCGCCGTCTCCAGCACCCAGGCCTCGGTGCGGTCAGCCAGCAGGAAGGTGTTGTGGTAGATGAAGGGCACCGGCTCCTCTTTGCAGCTCCCACCTTGCCCATAACGCTCCAACAACGCCGTGATCACCTCCAGGGCCTCCCGGGCAGAGCTGCCCCGCTCCAAAGCCAGCCTGCCGCGCCGGCAGCACCCGTCTAACGGCGCTGGTTAGGGGGGGACACGGCGGGGCGGCCGCGGCACCGGCAGGCTCACAACACGGTCCTCACCTCACCAGGTCCATCCCCAGCAGCGCCTCGTCCTGCCCCACGGGCTCACGGGTCCAAACGCCCTCGTTGCCCACACAGACACCGTGCTCGTTAGCGCCCATCTCCGCACCCCAGAGCCAGGCGGGCCGGCTCAGCACCACGGCGTGGGTCCTCTCCGCCTGCTCGATCTCCAGGTAGGTGCACTGCGGACGGGGACAGGGCGCTGGGGCTCACGCTCAATGCACTGCACTGCATCCGATGTCCCCAACGCGGTCTCACCTGGACTTTATCCCCGGGCCGGTGGGTGGCAGAGGGGATGTAAAGCACCTCCTGCACCTCGCTCCGAGGCCGGTCCGCGTTCTTACCGAAGATGACGGCCGGAGCCGCGGTGTGCGGCGGCAGCGCCACGAAGCAGTCGCAAGACGAGGGTGTGGAATCGCATCCCGCCATCCTAAACCGAGCCCCGACGGGGATGTCACCCCCTTGGCGCTCCTTAAGGGTTGGGGGACAGCAGAGACCCCATCCCCTGGGGGTACCTCCTGGCCCGGGACCCCGCAGCGCTGCACGGACAGCACCTGTGCCCCCCTCAAGCCCCATAACCCCCCCTTTCGGGACGCCACGGACCTGATGCCGTTCCCGCAACGCCGCCGCCGTCCGGTCCCGCCCCCAGCCTCTCCCCGCCCGTACGACGGCGGCGCCCCGTGGCCGGAGGCCGAACGGCGGCAGCGGTGGGGACCGGCACCGGCACCGGCACCGGCCGGGCTGAGGGGACCGCAGCCCGAAGGAGCCCGGGGACGGGGGTCCCGCCTTGCATCTCCCTTGGGGAAGAGACGGCGGTCTCCTGGGCAGGATCCCCATGGGCATCAACCCCCGTGGTGAGCAGCACCCCCATACTGAGCACCCCAATAGGCATCACACCCCTAATGACAGCACCCCCTAATTGCTGTGCACGGGCATCACCTCCCAGCTGGCAACATCCCCCAATGGGCATCAGCCTCAATGGGCATCACCTCCCAATGGGCAGCACCTTCATGGGCATCACCCCACAGACAACACCCCTAGTGGGCATCACCCCCGTAGGCATCCTCCCCATGTTCAGCACCCCCATATTCAGCACCCCAATGGGCAGCACCCCCATACTGAGCACCCCAATAGGCATCACACCCCAAATGACAGCACCCCCCAATTGCTTTGCACGAGCATCACCTCCCAGTTTGGCAACATCCCCCAATGGGCTGCACCCCCACGGGCATCAGCCTCAATGTGCAGCACCTTCATGGGCATCACCCCCGTAAGCATCCTCCCCATGTTCAGCACCCCCATATTCAGCACCCCAGTGGGCAGCACCCCCATGCTGAGCACCCCAACGGGCAGCTCCCTCCGTGGGCAGCGTCCCGCAGTCACGCCCGCCCCGCGGTATGTGGGCAGACCTGCCGGCAGCTCCCTGCCCGCGGGGAGGGACCCTGGGCACCCGCCCGGCACGTCCCGGGGTGCAGGATGCGGCCCTCCTGAGGCCGGCGTTCATCTGGTCCTCACCCTCCCTTCCTGCATCCCCATCCCGAGGCCAGGGTGAGGGGCTGCGGCTGTGGGGGGATACTGGGATACCGACGCTTAAATGGATCCCTTGGCACAGACGGAGCCGGAGAGCCAGGGCGTGGAAAAACACGCGGCGTTTATTCCAGTACAAAACCCAATCCCACAGCCCCGCAGCCTCTTCACAGCACAAACGCTCCCCTCCTCGCAGGGAGGACACCCCTCGATGCAGCACCCCCGAACCCCTTTCACCCCCTTCCCCCGGGGGTGGGGGGGGGAGATGCCGGGGAGCCCCCAGCTTGGCCGGTTCCTCCCTCGCCCCCGGGGGAGGCAGCTCGGGGGTGGGAGACGCGGCGGTTCGGGGCGCAGGGCTGGGATCCCCACGCCGCAGCAGGCTGGACTGGTTTCGGCGGGTGGGAGCCGGCCTCCGGCCTTCCCCACCCGGTTTTACAGCCTTCATTGCCCCATCGCGGCAGGCAGGGCCCCGGGGGGGGGGTGAGGAGGGGGGGTGCGGGGGTAGAGCGCACCTGGGGGCCCCTCCTCATAAACCCCCCCCCCCCCGGCTCCGAGCCAAGCGGGGGGCAGCTCTGTGGGGCTGAGCCTCAACACCCGGCATCACAGGGGACACCCCCCTTGCTCCGTGAGGCTGAGCCCCTCTCGGGGGGTCCCTTCCCAGCCCACGTTTTGGGGGTGCCCCCAGTTCAGCTCCCCTAAACCTGCTTCAGCAGCACAGGGGGTCCCCAATACTCCAGAGCCCCCTTACCCCCCTGGCCGGGGCTGGAACCAGGCTTGGCTACTAAAATCCAACGGGACACGGGAGTGATGCTACAGCAACACGAGGAGGGGCTTGAGCCCCGCCTCTGGGGTTCCCTAAGGTGATGAAATCCCAACCAAGGGATCCCAAAGGGAATTTTGTGCTGGAAAAGGCAAATGCTGGAGTCGGGGACGTCCTTCGAGAGCTGCAGGCAGCCCAGGTCACCCGAGTCCTGCGGGGGGACGGTCGGTGGCGTTTGTGCCATGGGGCTGAGGACATGTTCTGAGACACCCCCTCCCCAGCGAGACTTCACCTCGTGCTGGGTTTCTCCAGCCCCATAGCTTGTCCCCAGCCTCACGACACTGTGGGGCTGCTGTCAGCCTCATTGCACACCAGTGGGGATGGGGACAGGGTTCTTTGAGGGGTCCTACCCCCCCCCCCATCCCCATCCATAAGGCCTGCGGCCACAGCTTCGGCCCGAGGTGTCCACTCTGCCCGAGTGGCAAAGCCTGGCTTCACCTTAATAAAATAATAATAATTAATAATATTAATTAATAATAATAATAATAATACAATCAAACCCGAACGTTTTGGGGCGCCCTCTGGGCACGGACCCCACTCGACTTCACCTCCACCTCTTGGGGGGGGGCCCCCCCCCCGACCTTGGGGTGCTCCGAGCCTGGGCAGCCCCCCACCCAGAGCCCCCAGGATGGGGCCATGCTGGGAGATCGTCCCCCTCAAATCTACCCCACTTCCCCAGCTTCCCAACTGGTGTGAACTGGTGCTGCCTGGGGGGCAGAGCCGGGGGGAGCCCCGGGTGCCCTGAGCAGCCCCATCCCACCCGACCCCAGCGCTGCCCCCTAACACAACACCCCCCCACCCCCCCCACCAGGTCCCAGTTTCAGCATCTCCTGTATCCAAGGGGTTCTGCCAAAATCGGGGGGGGGGATAAGACCCTAAAGGTCTAAAACCCAAGTTTCGCGGCCCACCAACCAGGGGTGAAGGACAAAAAGGGGGGAAATGGGACCAGAGGAGGAAAGCTACGGGACCCCTGGTTGGGGGGTGGCCCAGGGGACCTGGGCACGGACAGCTATGGGGTCCTGGGTGGGGGGGACGGGGACAGGCAGCATGCATAGGGGTTCCCTGGAGATACGGGATCCCGGGTGGTGGGGGGGGGCAGCATGCACGGGGAAGGGAGGGGATGCAGCGGGGGTCCCCAATGGGAGGGACCGGGTTGGGATGGGATGGGGGGGGGGGGGGGGGGATGCTCCGGGCATCGCGGCCGTGCCAGGCCGGAGGAATGCGGCCGCCCCGGCTCTCCCGGGACCGCGGCCGCCCCGGAGCTTCCCGCCCGGGGCCTCGGCGGCGGTGGGTGTGGGAAAGCTGCAGGTGTGCGCTTGGGCAACCGCCCGCCGCGCCACGCGCCCGCCCCGGCCCTCCCTATGGGGCGCAAGGGAAACAGAGGGGGGGGGCACCCCCAAACCCCAGGACCCATAGGGCGGCCCCATAGCGTGAGGGAACCCCCCCCCCCCCCCGAACCAATAGGGGTGCCGGAACCAGCATGGTTGGCAATAGGATAAGGATGGAATGAGGAGGTTGAGGGGGGCTGAGCCATGAATGGTAACACTCATGGGAAGGGATATGGGGGAGCGGGCCGGGGGGGGGGCTGTGGCTGCTCTCCCCAAGCAAAGGCTCCCGGGTTTCTCCTCTCTCCCTTTCTCCTTCCTCCCCTTTGGGCTGGACGTGCCCAGGCAGCGCCTGCTCCTTCGGCTCCCATTGATGTTGCTCCCAAACAGCCCCACCGCCTGCCAGCAGCCTCCCGAAAGGAGAGAGAAAAGGGATGATTTGGGAAACCGGGGGAGGACGCAAGGGCTGAGGGGGGGGGGGGAGAGGGAACCGGGGCGGGAGAGAGGGAGCGGGACAAGTGAAACTGCCCCGGGGCAGCTCCGGCTCCAGCGCTCCCCAACCGGCACCGCCGTGCATTGTGTGTGTGTGCGTGTGTGTCCCCCGCTTCGAGCACAAGGTGCCAGCCCTGCGCCCTCCCATCGCACCCTAAAACCCTTCGGAGACCAGCCCCAAAGGGACACCCCCACCCACCCCCCTCCCCACTAACCCGGGGCTCTCCCCACCTCCATCCGTGTTCCCCCCCCCCGGGGGCTCAGTGGCTCAGTTTGTGGGGGCTGCGTTCCCCCCCTCGGGCTCCCGCTTGCCTCCCTTGCCGGCCGACGGGTCCCCAGCGCCCTTGACTTCGGGTTCGGCCCCGTCTTTGCCCCCATCGTGCGTCTTCATGTGCTTGCCCAGGTGATCGCTGCGCATGAAGACCCGGCCGCAGACGGGGCAGGCGAATTTCTTGGCTCCGGTGTGGGTCTGGAGGTGCCGCTGGAGCTCGTCGGAGCGGGTGAAGCGTTTGCCGCAGAAGAGCCAGTTGCAGACGAAGGGTCGGTCCCCGCTGTGCCACCGTAAGTGCGCTTTGAGGTGGGACGTCTTGGCGTACGCCTTCCCGCAGCCGGGAATGTGGCAGTTGTGTAGGTGCTTCCGTTTCACGCCCTCGGGGCACGGACCCCCCCTTTCCGCCTCCTGGCAGTTAGGGCAGCGGCACGCAGCCTGCCCCCCGCCCCGAGGCACCGCACGACGGGCACCCTTGGGCCTCCCGCCGCCTTCCACCTCCGGCCCGCGGGGTTCGGGGGGACCCTCCAACGCCTTCGCCCCCTCCGCTCCCAAGAGATGCTGGGCTGGGGGGGGCAGTAGATGGGCAGGGGGAGCGCAGAGCTGGTGCTCCCCACCACCGTACCCGCCTAAGGCCGGTGGCAACCCGGGGTGCCCGGGCACCTGCAGCCCCCCGCCTTGCCCGGGGGGCAGCTCCATCCAGCTTGCTCCGGCGTGGAGGTCCCACCAATTGACGCCTCCTTCTTCACCGGGGGCACCGGGATGGGGGGGCCGAAACCAAGGCTCGTAGGGATGCGCCATGTCCGGAGGAGCGGCCGGTAGCAGCTTGGTGTACGCACCGGGGGCCGCGGGGCCGTCGCTGGGCAGCTCTAACCGCGGGGGGCCATGCGGCTCGTAGGTACCGGGGTTGGCGAAGGCGACGTCGTCCGGACCCACCAGCGGCAGCTCCGTTGGGGGCGGTGGGTTCAGCGGGGTGGTGAATTCGGCGGCGCCCGCCGAGGCGGTGCCGGTGCCGGTACCGGTGCCGTGGGGCTGGAAGGGCTGCAGCGGCTGCAGGTCCAGGTGGCTCGGCGAGGCGCGGGGCGCATCCGAGGGCTGAGTCCCCAGGGAGCCGCAGACCGCTGTGAGCATTGCCGAGCGGCGCGGGGCGGAGGCGCAAACAGACCTGCGGGGCCAAGGAGGGGTGGGGAGAGATGTGTGAGAAGGGGGGGGCACGCACACACCTCCTGCATCCCCCCCTTACCCCTGCGCACACGGGTACCGGTGCCTCTCCTGCACCGCCATGCACCCCATCACCGGCCATTGGGGGGACACCCCTGAGCCATCGAAGGGGGCTCTGTGCTCTACAGCCCGGTGTGACACCGGGGTAGTGATGATAGCACCCACCCCTATGTGCCTATGGACCCTGTGCCAGCCCCGGTGCTGGTGGGTCACGTTTGTGCCTAAGTCCAAGATCTAACAAACCCACCACCATCTCCCTTGTCACCCCCCCAGCCGTGTCACCCCAACACAACTGGGGTCCCTATGGCGGCATGAGCGGTGTCCCCAAGCCATGGGGGAACACAACAGCATCCACGAGGCCACCCTGGCTCTCCCATATCTCAGCCACACTGGGGAACCATCTCCCCCATCCCTACTCCTGCCCCAAGCCCCTGGCCCGGCTGCGACCCCCCCCCACCCCAGGCTGCCGAAGGGGGAGCAAAACGCACCCCGCACCCCGGGGCCGGTTGGCAGCAGGATGGGGGAGCGGAGCCGGCTGCGGGGCGGCAGCGGAGCCCCGGGGCTGAGCCACCGGCAGCGCTTTGAAGCCGAGCTCCGGGCTGCTTTTGCCTGCGGCCCGTGGACCCCCGGGGGCCACCCCTCGGTGCAGCCGCGGACCCCCCCGGCACCCGCTGGCTGCCCCGTTCGGCGCCGTGACTCACCGGAGCTGTGCAAACCCCACTGGGGACGGGCCCCACCCCGGTGTCGAAATCCACCTGCCGCCACCGGCTCCCGCCCCCCGACTTCCCACCGGCGCCGGGGGACCCCCCCCTCAACCCCTCCCAGTCCCCATCACCCCTACGCCATCCCCCCCTGGCTCCTGGCAACCCGAGTGGGACAGGGACAGAGCTTCAAGGAGACCCCCCCCCGAGGGGTGCTGAAAGCTTTGGGGTGGGGGATTCCCCGTGCAAAGGGGCCAGACCCCCACTGCCCCCCAATCCCCAGTGTTATAAGCCCAAAGCAGGTCGGGGGTCTCCAGTGCTGAAGACACCCCCCACCCTAATTGCATGGGGACACTGTTTTCCCCTCCCAGATGGCACCAGAGGGGACCCCGAAGGGAGCTGGGGGGCAAACCCCCCCAATAGGATCCCCCCATCTGTGCTACCAACACTGGTGGGTGTCCAGCCTGCAGGCAGGGTGGTCGCCGGTGGGATGAGCCCTCCGGGCCTGGCTGCCTGAGCAGGTTTAGGGGTGCTGCTCCCCAGGAGGGGCTCAGCTCTGCCCACCCCAATCCTGGTTGGGGGGGGGTTGACATCAGTTTTGGTTCCTGGGAACCATCCCTGTCTCCTGGGGACGCCAGCGGGGTGGGAGAGGGCTGGCACCAAGGGGCTCCATTGCTCTCACCCAGCAGCGGTCCCCAGTGGGGTCCTGAACTCCCTTAGCCCCCTGCTCCCTATGGGGGCAAGATTGGGGTCACAAGCATAAAACCCTATGGTGACGGCATGTCATGGGGCTTTGGGGTGGCAGCTAGCACTGCACAGGGTCCCCCAGATCTGGGGACAAAGGAGACATGGCAGGGATGTCCCCCAGCTCTGATAAGAGAAGGGACCCCCCTTGGGGTCCGGGCAGGTCCCACTGGACCCAGAACCAACACAGCTACACCACAGCGAGCTCCGGGCACCCCGCTTCCAAACGTGTGTGTCCCTGCCCCAGCACCGAGCCCCTCAACCAGGTCCCACTGGAACTACACCATTCCCTGCTCCGCAGTGGGGACCAGCACTGGGATGGGATGGGATGGGGTGGGGGGAGCGGCTGCCACTGCCACGCGTGGAGGCTCCCGGGGCATTTTTCCATCCGGGAATGACGACCAAAAGTCCCCAAGGAGCTCCCGGCGTCCCCCTCCCTGGCGGGGCCCGGCGACGCTTTGGCCATTTCACCGCAGGGAAACTGAGGCACCGGCGAGTGATGCGTCCCGTGAGTCACGGCCCGGGCCGGGCAAAGCCTCTCTGCCCGTCTCCCGCCCCGCCGGTGCCTCGCCCCGCGGCGGGGCTGGGCGGGAGGCGCTGCCCGCAGCCCCGGCCCCGACCAAGGGGAGCCCCCGACGGGTGGGTCCGCAACGGCGGCGGGGCCGGGGTGATGCTGCGGGGCTTGCGGTGATGCTGCGGGCTCGGGGAGGGAGGAGGACGCCGTGGGTTGGGGTAAGGGGGGGGGGGATGCCGCCGCCGCCCCCTTCGCTGCGCTCACCCCGCCGCCCACCGCACAGCACCGCTCCCTGGTACCGAAGCGAAACTCCCCGAGGGTTTGTTACGGGGGGGGAATGGGGACGGGGACGGGACAGCGCTGGTTGCAGCGGGGGGGAACGGGACAGGGGACAACCCCCATCGTAACCTCGCACCGGCGCTGGGTCCCTGCCTTAAGGGAAAGGGCCCTGCGCTGTGAGTTCATGGGGGACGGACAGAGGGGCCGGCAGCCCCGCGGCTCGGTGGCCACTGGACGCGGCTGGGCGGCAAGCAAAGACTTGCCGGGGCTGGGCTGGGCTGGGGCGCGGAGCCACCGGCAGCACGTTCCCAGCCGCCGGCCGGTCGGGGCGGCCGCGGGAGCCTTGACCCGGACCGGGGGTCCCCACTGGGGAAAGGGGGGGATCCCCCTTCTCCTTCACCGCCCGCCGTTCCCCGCTCCCTCCGTCCCTCCCTGCCGCCGGGCAGCACCGGGGAGAGGTGGGGGGGGTACGTACGGGTCTAACGGCGGCGGCGGCGGCGGCGGTGGGGAGGTCCCGGCGGGTCCGTCCTCATCGGCGTGGCGAAGGGCGCTGGTTCCCGAGGGGACCCCGAGGGACCCGCGCGGCTCCCCAGGGACCGGGCACCCACTGGGCCGGGCGAGCAGGAATGGCCGGGTCCCAGCCCGGCGCCCGGCTCTTCCCTCCTCCCCACCGCCCAGCTCCACCCTCCCGGCCCAGGTGATTTTAACCCTTGGAGGCAGAGCCCCAGCCCCGATGCTTGACAGGAGCCAGGTCCCGGTCCCAGGATCCGGCTCATGAAAGCGGAGGGAGGGGACGGGAAGTTCGCAGCAGACACCGCAAACGAGGGGGGTAATTAAAGAAGAAAGACACAACCGCCTCCCTCCCGCGCCAGTGGCCGCCTTCCTCCTGCCACCATCCCCTCGACGGGGACCCCCGGGCACCTCCCGCCTGTCCCCCACTGCCCCGGGGGGTGCCTGCCGGCTTCTCCCCCTCTTATTCCCCCGGGGATGCGCCCCACACCATCGGGGGAGCTCGGAGCCCCCTTTGCTGCTCAGCCCTGTACCATGGGGTTAAATGGGATGGGGACAGGCACAAGGGGACAAGTTTTGGGGTCAGAGCTGGGGTGGTGGCGCGATGCTGATGGTGGATTTGGGGATATCCTGGCTGAGCTTGTCCTCACTGGGGGTGTTCGAACCTCCCGGCTCCCATGTCCTCAGCACCAATGCTGCCAGCACAGGGGGGTGCCAGGAGGGAGAAGCCCCAGGAGATGCCACCAACACTTAACCACCGGGGCATCGTGTCCCCATTCCCGTGGCCACAATGCCCAGGACCCCATTGGGACCCTCGTTGGGCCTGGCAGAAGCCAACCGCACTCCAAAGCCCATGGGAGAAGGCGCTGGTGCCTCGCTGGAGCTGGGATCTGGGCCGATGCCGCATCTCCCGGCGCTTGCCAAGCGCCCGGCCGGGCGGAGGGCGAGGAACTCCTTCGCCTTGGGGAAAAGCTCTCCTGGTTTTCATCATCCTAGGGATGGCTCCACCGTCGCCACCGAAACGCGGCTGCATGTGGGGTGAGCATGGCCCCATGGCTTGGATGGGAGCCCTGGGATGGGGACCCCGAGGTGGGGACCTTGGCTCTGCATAGATGGTGGTGAACACCCGCTCTGGTGCTCTGCAGGGCACATGGGGGATGCAGAGGGACCACAACCCCAGGGTCTCGCTGCCTCTCCTCCCCTGTACCTGCCTCAGAGGTGCCGGGGGCCATCCCCGTGGCTGTGGGGCAGGGGATGCTCCGTCCTGGGGACACCCCAGCGCTGGGGCCACGGAGGTGGCCATGGGCTCCCCGGCTGTCTTGCAGGTGCCACACTGCAGCCACAGCAGCTCTGCAGGGCAGGGAGCAGGTTTTGCATGGGGAGCTCCAGGCACCGGCCGGACCGATCCCAATCCCGATCCCGATCCCGATCCCGATCCCGATCCCGATCCCGATCCCAGTCCCCATCCTGGCTGTGCGGCCACAGGGAGCAGGGACCCCATGGTGGGGACACTGTCCTGGGTGGCCCCCGATGCCCAGCTCCAGCCAGGAAGGATGCGCTGGGAAGCATCCCTGTGCTCCGGGGTCTCCTCCCAGTGCTCCAGGGACTGCTGGGTGAGGAGGTCCCTGGGCTGGGGGTCCCCGGTACCGGTTGCCATGGCTCCCCTCCCATCCATTCCCAGTGTGGCCTCTTGTCCCCCCGCCTCACCATGGAGGGGCTGCAGGATGGGAGGACACGGGACACCATGCGCCTGTGTCCAGATGAGGAGTTGGGAAGTCCATGACCCGCCTGTGCTGCTGGCTCCAAGCCCCAAAGCTCCCCTGGGATGCTCCAGACCCATCCTCAAACACCGCTCCTGGGCTGGGGGAGGAAGGAGATGCCGGGAAGTGGTCGGGAACAGTGTGTGTGTGGGGGCTGAGATGGGACTATGGGGACAATGGGGACAATGGGGAAAGGGGGGCTCCTTGGACCACCCATAGGAAGCAATAGCGCCGATGTTGGAGTATTGGGGCCTGGGAGGGGGCATCTCCGAGTGTCTGAAACCCTGAGCAGTGCCTTGAAATTACAGGTAATGACAGAGCCCATTTGCATCCATTGCAACGTGAGGCAAATGCTTCCAGTCCCTCCCCGTGCTCGGGGGGGGATCCAGGGGTGTTCCGGGGTTGGGCACTGGGTCCCACTGGGAGCCTGAGTGAGGACCGGAGGGGTCTGTGCTCCCCAAAGCTACAGCCGGGACCGTGGTCACGTCCTGCACCCCCGAATGGCACAGCCTTGGGGACACGCACACACACACACAAGGCCTTGGATGCACCCCCATGGGTGATGGAGGGGGGGAGAAGGGCTGCTATAGGGCAGGGGCTGTGCTGGGGTGGGGGGCAGGCATAGCCCTATGGTGCAAGGGTGCTGGGGACACCCCTGTTCCCAGGGGTTAGGGACAAAGGGATGGAGGGATGGATGGACAGAGGGATGGATAGAGGATGAGAGGCACCTCCTGCCCCCCCCAAGGGCAGTGGGGATGGAGGGAGGGAGGGAGGAGGAGGGATGCTCCCCACCACAAACCCCCCTGGAGGATGTTGGGGGGCAAAGGGATGGCCAAGAACCCCCCCCCCCGAGCCCTGGGGCAGAGGCTTCAAAGGGCTCTGGGGACCGGATGCAATTTCCTTCTGCTGCCATAAAACAAATTGGGGGGGGGGAAGCGTGTGCGTGTGCATGCGTGTGCATGTGTGTGCATGTGTGTGCATGCATGTGCATGTACCGCATCCCTACCTGTGCACCTGCTGCCTGCATGCACCCCCACACGTGTGGGTACTGAGGATGGTGCCCTGGGGGGGCTCCTGGGGGGGGTCTGCAGCGGGTGCCGTGGGGCTGCACTGTCTGGGTCGCCCTGGCCTTGGGGGGAACCCCAGGAGCAGCCACAGGGCTTCAGACAGGGAGGATTTGGGGTGCCCCCCCCCGGGCTCTGCACCCAGACAGCTCCGGGGGGGTGACGCTGGGCTGGTGCTGTGGGTGCAGCCGGGAGTGATGGAGGGTGCCGGGGGGGGGGGGCACCCCGAGTCTGCTGGGGCTGGCACAGTGGGGATGGTGCTGGGGGGTGGGGGGGGTGTCACATGGGTGCTCATGGTGGGGGTGTCACAGCCTCGGTTGAGCAAACCTGGGGACTGGCACCCAGCCCAAACTGGGACCCAGTGGGGACCTCCAGCACCTCCAGGACAGGGTTCCCAAATCCCCATGGCTGCTCGTTGGAGGGCACAGCCCCATTGCTCCCACATGGGAGCCACTAAATCCAATGGAAGGGACACAGCCCCATGGCGTTCACGACCTGGGGACCGGTGTCTGGTTTGGGGTCCCTCATACCCATCGCGGCATCCCAAACCCCCATGGCCGCTCCTGAAGGGCACAGCCCCATCGCTCCCACATAAGAGCCATTAAAGTCAATGGAGGGGACAAAGTCCCATCCCCATTCCCCCCCAAGCTGTGGCATCATAGGGACAGGGGCACCGGTACCGCTGCGTCCCCGGGGACAGGCTGATGGCAGAGATATCTACCGGGATTATCGCGACGGGGTTCCCTGCTCGCGGTGCGTGCCCCGAGGCAGCGTTTCTCACCGGGAGCAGGAATTACTGTCGGGACTCGACCTCTGCGACGTGGCGATGGAGCTGGCGGCTCGGCAGGGTTAAACTGGGAGGTTTTAATTAGCCCCGGGTTAATCTCCCTGTTCTATCTGCGCCCAACCGGCCCCGGCTGTCAGTCACCGTGTGGGGAAACCTCCCCGGCACTGCGCACCGTGTGCCGGGATGGGCTGTGTTGGGAATGGGGATGGGAGCACTGGGATGGGGACATGGGGATGCACCGGGGGTGGGACACACGGATGCATCAGGGATGGGACTCTGGGCTACATTGGGGATGGCGCATGTGGCTGCACTGGGATGGGGACATGGGGATGCACCGGGGGTGGGACACACGGATGCATCAGGGATGGGACTGTGGGATACACTGGGAATGGGGACATGGGGATGCACGTGGGATGGGGGAATGGGATGCACTGGGAATAGGATACAGGGCTGCACTGGGGTATGGACATGTGGCTGCGTTAGGGATGGGGACATGCGGATGCACTGGGAAGAGGGACATGGGGATGGGTGCACCAGGGACAGGGGACATGTGGATGCCACAGGGGACAGGGCCACACAGGTCCTGCCACCGCCACCTTCCCCCGTGCAGGGCTGTACCAGGTCCCCATCCTGCTGTCCCCATGCCCGGTGTCGCTCTGCACAGAATCCATCGCAGCAGCTCCGGAGCTCGGCCGGGAGCGGGGCCGGGACGTGCCGTAATCGCTGTAATTGAGCGTGGGTTTGGGAGCGGGAGCGCAGCACCGGGTACCGGGTCCCTCCTCCGGGTCCTCCCGGTCCTCCCGGTCCTCCCGGTGTCCCCATGTTCCCAAGTCCTTGAGTCCCTGTGTCTCCACGTCCCCCTGTCTCCATCCCGACCCTGTGTGCCTGTCCCCTGCCTCACTGTATGGACCTGTGTTCTTTGTGTCCCCATGTCCCCATCCCAGCCTTGCTCTACTGTCCCCTGTGTCCCTGTCCCCCATCTCGCTGCCCAAACCCTCGTCCCTCTGTCCCCATATCCTCATATCCCCGTGTCCCCATCCCAGCCCTGTTGTTCCAGCTTGAGTCCCCTGTCCCCTGCCTCACTGTGTCCCCATATCCCCGTGTCCCCATCCCAGCCCTGTTGTTCCTGCTTGAGTCCCCTGTCCCCTGCCTCACTGTGTCCCCATATCCCCATGTCCCCATCCCAGCCTTTCTGTGCCAACTTCAGTCCCCGTCTCCCATCTCACTGCACAGACCCATGTCCCTGTATCCCCATGTCCCCATCCCAGCCCTGCTGTGCAATCCCGTGTCCCTGTTCCCTATCTCGCTGCCCAAACCATCGTCTCTCTGTCCCCATATCCTCATGTCCCTGTGTCCCCATCTCAGCCCGGCTGTGCCAACTCGAATCCCCCTCTCCTGTCTCACTGCACAGACCTATGTCCCTGTATCTCCATGTCCCTGTACCCCTATGTCCCCATCCCAGCCCTGCTGTGCAATCCCCTGTGTCCCTGTCCCCATCTCACTGTACAGATGCATGTCCCCGTATCCCCATGTCCCCCTATCCCCATGTCCCTGTATCCCCATGTCCTGTATCCCCATGTCCTGTAACCCCATGTCCCCCTATCCCCATTTCTCTGTATCCCCATGTCCCAGTTTCCTCATGTCCCCATATCCCCACGTCCCCGTATCCCCACGTCCCCGTATCCCCATGTCTCTGTATCCCCATGTCTCTGTATCCCCATGTCCCTGTATCCACATGTCCCCGTATCCCCATGTCCCCCTTTCCTCATGTCCCCGTACCCCCATGTCCT